AGAGGCCAAATTTGGGAAAAAAATTAAATTAAATAAAATACTAATCATCATAAGTGACTTTGCTATAGATAGAAAGGCGCTTTAACCCTTGATGTAGGAGGAGGCTGGGATGGGGATGGGATTGGGATTGGGGATAGGAATGGGATTGGGAATGGGATCGGGGACGGGATTGGGGATGTAAATGGGATTGGGAATGGGATCGGGAATGGGACTGGGGATGGGATTGGGGGTGGGAATGGGACTGGGGATGGGATTGGGGGTGGGAATGGGACTGGGGATGGGAATGGGATTGGGGATGGGAATGGGGAAGGAAATGGGATTGGGGATGGGATTGGGGATGGGACTGGGGATGGAAACAGGATTGGAAATAGGATTGGGGATGGAAATAGGGGTGGAAATGGGATCAGGGATGGGATTGGGGATGGAAATGGGGGTGAAAATGGGATCAGGGATAGGATTGGGGATGGAAATAGGACTGGAAAAAGGATTGGGGATGGAAATGGAGGTGGGAATGGGATCGGGGACAGGGACGCCGAGTATCACCCCTCGTTTCGTTTTTCCCCATCACGATCCCGGATGGATCCCACAGGGTGGGGAACGGGATGTTTCAAAGCAAACTTCAAGGAAAACCGCCCATTTTGGGCTCAAAACCGGCTTTTTGCTGCCTTTTTGGGCTCTTGGTCTTTACAGCATCACATCCCCGGCCTCGAGCAGGACTTTTTTTTTGGGAAGGGGGGGAATCCATCACGATCCCCTTGCAAATTAATGCCGTCGGGATGCAGCGAAGGACGAAGAGAGCCCCATGGCCTCACCCCAACACCTTTTAATTAACTTTTATCGTGGGGGGAAAAAAAAACAAAACAAAGCAAAACAAAATCCCAAAACCTTCAAGAAGGAAAATTCAGCGGCTCCGGGAGCGGGGACCCCCACCCACCGTCCCGCCGGGGAGGAAACGCCGTTGCCATTGTTTTTGGGGCCATTTCCTTTCCCCAAAGGCCTCTCCTTCGCCGGGAACGCCAAGGGAGGTGGCCTTTCCCCCCCAAAAAAAAAAAAAATTCAGATAAGGTTGGAAATTGGGGGGTGCGGTTGGAAATTGGTGAAAAACCTCATAGACAGAGAGGGGTCGAGACCCCGTCACCCCAAAAATCAGCTGGGGTGGCCTTAAAGCACCGGTAAACAAGGGAAACGGCAGGTTTTTATCATGGGAAAAAGAAAAGAAATTGATTTTTT